AAATTAAAAATATGCTTCCTAGATTGACAGATAAAAAATAGTTTGAAACAAACAATTCAGATAAGATAAATAGATAGCTGGTCTTAAAAAACCTCAGAGATCTATAGAATACAGCACTTAAAGATATTTTGTTAATTTAAGGCTTTTTTTTTGACCATGAGACAAGTCTGTTCCTGGAAGCACCCCTGTTCTACTTCAAAGAGCTTCAAAGGCTCACATGTGGCAAGCTAGCCACTGGGTGAGAAAATGCCCTTGTGTCAATTACAGACAAAATACTGTCTAAACTGGACAAATTGGAGGCAGGAAAGTCGACTGCTGAGCTTTGCAAGAACAAGGTAGGCAAGTCCTTTCTTCACAGAGAGGTCTGTCAAATATTCTGAGCTGGAAGGTTAAAGATGATGCTCCAATGTTGTAGAAGAACTTTGCAGGACAGACCAGGCCAAATATCTGTGTCATTTCTATGCCTTTGGAAGTTGCTTGCCTACTCTTCCAACATATTCAGGTAATACTCATTCCTCCTTAAGTCTCTGATGGGGTTGGAAACTAGACAGTGATAGCCTCACAGTTAAACTTAAATTGTTTATGATGATAGGAATTGATAGATAAAATAGAATAATTTATCCAAGGGTGCCACATATACAGATGTAAATCTTACCTAATAATTTTCATAATTGTTATTATTACATATAGTTTGTTATTATAAGAGAAAGATTCTTTTATTAGACTAAAATGCAGTCACACGTTACTGGGCTGTTATCCATGTTGAATGTGCTTGTACAACTATGGTTTTTTGCCACTCTCTCAGTTTTTCATCCTCAATGAGTAATACTTGGGATTGAGCCTTCCAAAGTAGGCTGCTCAAAGGACAGGGAGGTGGAAAGTGACTGACCTGCTGCACATGTGAAGATAGTGAGAATGAAGTAAGGGAAGGAGACAGGGAGTGGAAAGCAAAGCAAGATTCAGTAAGTGACAGGAGAAAGAAGGAGAGTGAAAAAATTATGGAGGGGAAGAAAAAAAAGAGCAAGGGATTAAGAAAAAAAATACAAAGTTAAAAAAAAAGGAGAGACAAAACAGTTCACTGAGTGAAATAAAAGCACTGGCCACAAAGCTTGATGACCTAAATTCAATTCCCAGAATCCAGAGTTTGATCTCCCCGCAAGCCTGAGGCTGAAAGCCATCAAGTTCCAGGGTTATTCTCAGTTGAAATCTGTTCTCGGATGGCCACCAAGGACAGGACTCTTCCCCTTATACCTTCCCAGTGTAGGTCAGTCTCAGGCTGTCTGCTCCATGTGGCTAATCAGTGTCTGGACCTCCTGCTTTCCACATCTCTCATTCAGGGCGCCCCCCAACATGACATTTCCAGATCTTTGGCCCCCTGGGTAGCTCAGTTATTAATAACAGATTTTCTCAAGACTCCCACACCCACCTTTGGAGTCATATAGTATGACAAAATGAGATTACTCTTTCCCTGACCTGTTGAGAATCAGTCCTTCCAAAACTTGCACTTGGCCTCTAGACTGGTAAGGGTTACAGGTGTGGGCATAGGCTTGTCTGCAGTGTTCACTCACTGCCTACCTTTCACCTGACTTAGCTCCTGGAAGTGGCTTCTGTTGTGGATGTAAATGTGTTTTTGTTTTGATCCCAGGTGTAGGATATGGGACTGATTTCAAATTGTCTGCAGCTTGCCTTGTGCAGGCTCTGGAGAAAGGCGTTTGCCAGCTGCAGATAGTTTAAATCTGAGGACCCTGGAGAGGGAGTAGATGGCAGGGGCCCAGAGAGAGGAGGAAGCTCAGTGACAGAAGGATGACGGTGCTGCAACTCCCCACCCACTACTGCTCCTTATGGCTGTTGATGCAGTTTGATGAGCAGAAGCTGGAGATCTCCTGAAATGAAGATTGAACTTTCCCCAAGGGACCCATCAACCGTAGCAAGCAGGAAGTAACTAAGGAAAGCTACAACCCTTCTCTCCACTAAATGTTCCTTCCTCCCTACCCGGTGTTGAGGTGTTGGAAGGGATGGGGGTGGAGAAGGGAGGAAGAGGCATAAGAAACCAAAATAAGACAGAATAAAAAGTAAAGCTAACAGACTTCTGCCCACTCTTCCCCAGGCCCCAGGGGAATCACAGCTGTTTCACTTCCTTCCTTCTCAGTGTCACGGTCCCCCACCCCCACATTTTTCTGGTATCCTTTACTTCCTTAGCGGATTTTGGAAACCCATTCTGTTTTTCTCTTTGGGATTGTCTGTTTGTATTCTGAAAGTTTTCTTCCTTGAATCACACAGCCTCCACTTGGCCAGCCACCGTGCTCAGAAGCTCCAATGTACAGTCTTTGATGTTGGAAGCAGCATTACACATTATTTATTAGCTCATTCACTCTTGAAGTGGTAATGGTGATAGCATCAGTGTCCATGGACTCCAACTTCTTTTTTTTGTCATTTGGAGACTTTAAGGCACACGAACAGTATTCACTGAAAATAAAATTCAAAGTGGCGGCAGCAGCAGCAGCAGCAGCAGCAGCAGCAGCGGGTTCTTTGGTTTAAAGATCGTGTCAATGAATAGCTTCATGGTTCAAGTAGGGGTCAAAGCCACAGACTCTTTGAGTGAAGAACTACAAAGCAAAGCTGCTCTCTATGTGCAGGCACCATCTGCAGCCCTGACTCACAGGAGTCAAGAGGGAGCTGAAACATGACTCACCTGTCACAGACATCCCAGGTTTCCCAGAGTTGCCACCAGCAGAGGCTGCCTGCATGGTCTGTCTGCCTTAACTCTGAAGTTGAATATCCTCTCACAGGAGTTAGTGATACATGCAGAAAATAATTATTCTAATGTTGTTGGTTGGCAACCATGTTCCTAGGGCTGATTTAGGGTCACAGTGCTGGCCCCATGGCACATTCCAAGAACCTGAATAGCATTAGCATAGAGATGATTTTCCTGAGAATGCAGTTAATTGTAAGGGAGTTGTGTGCTGCTCACACACCGTGGCCAGTTCTCACTTGGACATTCTGGTTGGGCCTGAGGTTGTATTTGAGAATCCGAGATAGCTGTTGCCTCAGGAGCTTCTCTGAAGTTTTCTGTCATTCTTACCGGGCATCTAGCTTTTAAGTCAGAAACCCACATTTTAGAGACACAGACCAATTCCTCTCCAGTGATGATGAGGGTGCTGATAGAGAACTCCTGTTCTTGGGTTTGGGTGTTTTTTTTTTTTTTTAATGACTGAAATATTTTCTAGAGTCCTTTAAGAAAGTTGCTATAAATGCATTGTAATACCACACAACACAGGCTGAAGCCACCATTCTCCGATCAGCCAGGTTTTAATCAAGGGCAGGGTAAAGGAAAAAAATATCTTACATTTTCAAAAGATGTGTCAAGTAGAGCACACGATGACTTTTTGACAGTTAATCATCATACTGTTAAAACTGCATGGCAGTTGGAATTACGTAAGAACCAATTCTGACTTAGATCTTTTTCATGGTTTTTAGTTCCTCTTGAAATTCTATAATCTGGGTGTTCTCAGCTTTTTTTTTTTTTTTTTTTTTTTCTGTCAGAAAACAAAATTTCAGGAAAGCCAGGGAGTAAAGTCATGATTGGTGATCTCCAGATTATGGGACCTTCTGACTGGAAGAGCTCAGTTTTGCTGTCGGCAGGTTCACAGACTTTTGTTAAATCCTACAGGAGGGGGCCTGGGGATTCAGCAAACCTGAACCCCAGGCCATTCCTGTCACTAACCACTACACTGGTTACCCCTCTTTACCCCTTTTGCAAATCTGAGGCAGTGCTTTTGAAATGCTTCTACCAAGTCCTCCTTCCAGTTCTAACTTTCTCTTTTCCTGTGTTGCTGGCCACAGGCAGTCCTGATTTCAGGTGTACCAGGAAGGGTTAGACAGGAAGCAGTGCTGACAGGCTCGGCTAGTTCACACTGCTTGGGGAATCATGGGAGCAGATGGATCCCCACCTGCTCCTGGATGCTGGCTCACCTCCACCAGTGTTAGATGTGATGTAGTTAGTGCCAACAGAGGTTCTTCTTCACTTGCAAATGTATTTTGAGTGCCTACTTTTGGTACATGACTTTTTTTTTTTTTTAATTTTCATTTGAAGAATGGCCTAGAATTTACCTTAGCAATGTTTTAGTTAGGGTTTCTACTGTTTTGATAAAACATATCCAAGGCATCTTGAGGAGTAAAGGATTTATTTCTCTTTCTCTTATGCTTTCCACACCAGAGTCCATCACTGAAGGAAGTCAGGGCAGGAATTCAAGCATGGCAGACACCTGGAGACGGGGAGGGGCTGATTAAGAGGCCATGGAGGAGCATGGCTTATTGTCTTCATCAGCCTTCTTTCTTTTAACACCCAGGACCACTAGCCCAGGGGTGGAATTGCCCACAGGGTGCTGGGCCCTCCCGCATCAATCATTAATAAAGAAAATTGCCCACAGGCAAATCTGGAGGGTGCATTTTCTCAATTGAGTTTCCCTCTTTCAAAATGACTCCAGCTTGTGTCAAGTTGGCATAAAACTAGCCAGCACAGCACTTCCTTACCTGCCAGAACTGTTACATAAAAGCTTAACACGCGTCTCCTGTAAAGAACAAAGATAACTCTACAACCATCACTTCTAGCTGCTGTGGTATTAGCTCAATCATCTCACTGAGGGGGCACTGAACTCTATAACAAAGTTCAGGGCCAATCTGAATTCTTTTGTCAGTTAGGGCTTGGAAGGAGAGTGTGGCACCATGGAAGAAGGGCCTCAAGATCTCTGGCCTCTAACCATGCCTGATTTTGGAAAATGGGAGAGGTGTTTTCCCAGGTGACAGCTGGTGGTCCGACAGTAAATAGTCCTGTGCCACTAATGACAACCTACAGAATAGACAGGGGTTTGGATAAAAAGTTTGCCCCCCACCTTGGACAAGGTGACTTGGCTCACAGAGGTATGGTGGATGTACCATGCTAAAAGTTTTATGCCATCTGTACACAGTAGATGACTCAAGCAGGAAAATGAAGCAGAACATTTATTTTTTGAAAAAATTTTATTAAAAAATTAAAGTGAGTGTTGGGGGTGGGAAAGGACAAAAACAAAACCAAGAAAAACCAAACCCACACAACCGACACATGCTTTTAGAGTAGCAAGCATGTGACACTGGTTATAAAGGCTTCCCAACTACTGATCTAGTCTTTCATATCAGTCACAGTCAAGAAGGGCTTCCAAGGGAAGCCATATGTAAACAGGTCATCCGTACTATGGTTAAGAGCTAGCTATGTGAGAACTCTCAACTGAAGGCATGAGAGCGACCAAACCTCAGGAGTGCGTCCACATGGATTTAGAGTTCTGGTTTTAAACGTGTGTGCAGAGGTTGTGGGAACAAACAGTAGAGACCAATGGTGGCAGCAGAGGGTGGCCTTAAAGCACCTTTAGATCCTGGACCCTCTTCTACAGTTCGAGGCAGCAATCTTCAAACTCTGAAAAGACGAGGTTGTTCAACTATGGATTTTCTAGCTGTGTTGGAGATGAGTGCAACAGGTGATTCTGTATAAACTAGTCAGCTACCCAGCCTGAAGATATTAAAGCAATTCCAACCTCCTAAATATAAAAGAACTCTTATGAAAGCCACTGTGCTTTTGTCAGTTCAGGATGAGGCAGGTGGGAGGCAGTCCTGAGCAATCTGTCAAGAGCTGTTCAGGAAGTAAATAGCATAGAGTTGATCTGAGATCACAGAACAACCTCCGAATTACTAACAGGCCAACCCCATTTATCACAGTTCAGTGAACTTTCTTTCATCAGGGCCAGACAGGAAGCTGCCATTTAAACAGAATAGAGGACAGTTGTGGTTCCTGACTTGGGAAGACATATGAATAAAACATCTATTAAAAAAACTTTATTAAACATAGAGCACTATGCCCAAATAACTTCCCAGGGTTACAAAAGCCTCCTGGAGCCTTACTGACAGCATGTAGATATTGTGACATTGATTCCAAGGTTCCCATTATCTGCAAAGAGGTGTGCTATGGCTGTGTCAAAAACAAGGCAGTCACTGTTCATGATGGCTGCAGCCACACCGTCATGAATGGACCGGGGTGTGGCCTCCCAGGTCAGCCTCCGCCGGTTCCCATTCAACTCCAGTCTGTAGGCAAAGTTCTCAGCTTGCTTACGGGTGCCGATGAGGAGGACAATGGCAAAGAACTGTTGGTGACCTTCGTACTTCTCTTGCTTTTCAAGTACCAGCATGAAGTGGTGCCCAAAACAGGACTGCATCATCACCCAGTCCACAGCCCCTGGCAGGTTAATGTCTGTTGCTAGAAAGACTATGTCCTCTCCCTGAAGGGTAGTGATGCTCTTGTGGGCATGCATGAGATGAGACATCACGGCTTCCAGGGACCCCTGCCACTTGCAGGAGGCTCCAGGGCAGGGGCAGGAATAGGGACGGTATTCACAGATGTCTTCATGCTCTGGTTTCTCTGTATGGTGTAGAGTCAGGGAACAGCCCGTGGTAGCATACTGCAGAAACAGAAAACAACATACTGCATCATGGCATTGCCTCAAAACCTCGGTGCCAACATCTACGCATACCTACCCACACCCAGGTTCCTGGGCTCAGATTCTTAATCTAAACTACCTTTGTTTAAGGAGTGTCAAATATTTCAGACAAGTCTCAATTTCTACTCATTGTCAATAGCATTGTGCATAAAGTCAGGGCACTGGTTTCTAGACCCCCAGCCCGACAATGGTCAAGGATGAGAACTACCGTTCTTTTAAGTATGTCAAATGAGCAAAACTACTGAGATAACAGGGCCCCTTTCTCATTTTTGATAACCCCTGACTCCTTTTAAGAATTTAACTGCTTGGAAGTGGGGTGGGCAAGGAATACTGGACCACCTGCAGGCTTTTCCTATGAATAGATGACTTGAAAATGGCACAGTCTTGTTCTACTCCTTGACTTAGACTGATGGCAGGTCAACTTGTCAGTGGAGAAGGTTCCCTGTTCTGGCCTGCTAGTGTGGCCAAGCATGAGTGGAAGAGTCTGGGAGGATGGAACAGACTTGCTGTCTCCTTTGTACCCTCTGCCCTGCAAGTGTTGTGCCACGAGTTTTTGTTTTGTTTGTAAAGAAATCACATTCGAGACTGGCTTCTTGTAGAGGCTAAGGTGAAGTGGACCCGCCCTCTCCTTAAAGACCACCAAATCTTCCTAAAATTAGTTCCCTGTGGTCAAGCACACATCTCTTCCTGATGAGGTTGGTGAGGTCCTCATTCCAGGCTGGGAAAGGGGGGAGCTGAATGAACTTCTAAACACAGTCTGTCATTCAGATACTTCCTTACTATTACAGAGAAACAAAATCTTTCCCTTCCTATTCTCAGTATATCCATCATGTCCGTCATGAAAGAAGGCCACACTAAAAGAAACTGGAGCATTTCAGCTCCCAACTTTCATAAGAATGACAATGGTAATGCCAGTTGCCAGAGGGAGGGAGGGTCAGTCCACAACAGATGCCTATCCAGTGCTCTGACTGTGGTCACAGAATTAAGAAATGGCAACCACTCTTTATAGGTAAAGGGAGGAGTTAGCCTCTGATCTTTGAAGCACAGGAAGGCAGAGAGACTGTCTAGGTTACTGTACTTACTCTCCAGTCCTCCATTTAAGCATGCAGGTACCAAAGAAGGGACTGCACTAGGCTGTCTTCCTAAGATACTAAGAGAAAAAAAAAAAAAAAAAAAAAAAAAAAAAAAAAAAAGCAAAGCAACCATCGAACTCACAGCTGTTTTTGCTTCTCCGTACCCTGACTTACAAGCCCCTTATCACCACAGGTTGAGTTCTACACCTTACAGAATGTCTTTCTAGCAACCAGGGGGTCTTGCAGGCCACCAGAGCTGGGGTCTGCAAGAGAATACAGAAGCCAAGACAACAATAGCTTCTCTCTACAGGGAACTCAAAGAAAGACACTGGAAGAAATGCAGAGCATGGGGGAAGGTATGAAGGTATGTCTGTATGCCAGAGATCTGGAGGCTGAGACAGAAGAACTGTGTGTTTCAGGCTCTCCCTGAAATACAGAACTCTTTCAAAAAACAAAATAACAACAACAACAACAACAACAATAAAATCTCAAAACAAAAATAAAACAAACAAACAAAAAAGCAAAAAAGTAGCTCATGCCTCCAGCACCTTGGCTGAATTATTTCTATGTTTCTGGTTTGCTGACAGGAATTGCTTGTTCACAGGTCGGAACCATCGACTAACTTTAAAAGTTCAGGTAAAAAGAAGGTCTTGGTCAGAAAGAGAAATAGATTTGCGCATTTCTATTTACATTCGGTGCTCTCAATTTTTCAAAGCTTTATAAAGAAGTCCCTATGAACTGTTTTAGATCTGGGGTGTGGGAAGGACATGGAACCTCCTGGTGGTCTCCCGTGGACGGTGGGTGAGGCCCTTCAGTCCAGAGTTTTTAAAGCACACATAAACACAACAAAAAATAGCAAGACATTCTTAGAGCCTGGCTCAGTGTCTGCATGGGAAAATGGCTTAGAATGGGCTGTTGACCTTAGCTTTCAGGATGAATGCCAAGAATGAAGCAAAGTCTGGCAAAGGCATCCAGAGCACCTTTTGAGACCCCCACAGCCCCAGACCACTGCGCCTCCCAGAGCCAGCGTCTACAGCAAGTGTTTCTGTCACCAGCTTCGCTTGGGAACTTGCCCTGTTCTGGCAGAAACATTTATGTGCTGTTACTTGGTTTTCACACATGCAACTCTTCTTCAGGGTCACTCCGCAAGCTATAGGGAGAATAGGCATTTCTTTGTACATGTGTGGACAATGGCTTCCTGAAAAGAACTTGCTACTGGCTCTACCAACTTAAACATGTTTTAAAAGCCTTGGATGTTTTACTCTGTTTCTTCTAACCCAGCTGAACTTCAAGATCAACCTATTTCTCTCATTTCACCCCTGCAGTAGTCTAGGACCACTGAGGCCATTTCTGTGGTAAAAGAATTAAAGATGATCTCCAAGAAGAGAGTGTTCAAACCTTTTTTGTTTTTGTGGTGCCTGTTTAACTCCTGTCACACTCCATTGTCTGGCTTACCTATGCTGTGTGTGTTACCCACCTGACACAGTCAATGATCTAGGACCAGCTGAAGCAAATGATTCTCTTCCTGACATCTGGGGTGAGAGGGCTTCTGTTTACAGGCCTGGTTCTTTCCTATGCCCAAGTGCAGTCGAGAGGGGCCCCTGGGCTCCTTTGCAGAGAGGTTTCTGTGTCCTGGGACACACCCACAGCTATAAATGAGATTTCTCCTTTGGGAAAGATGTGCTCATTTCCCCCAAAGGGTGGGGTTATTTTTAAATAAACCTCTCTAAAGAAGAGGAAAAAGAAGCATAGAGGAAAAAAGAAAAAAAGAGACGAGGGAGGCCAAGCTCAAAGCTAATCAATGTGGGAAGGACAGAAGGAGAAACATGTGGATATGACACCTAGGACATCTTTGTAGCATTCTGTCTGGTGCTGCCATGCAAAAATCTTGTGCAAACATGTTCTGTCACTGAAATACTGTGTGAATCTGAGGCTTTGTGTTTAAGTCTTTGCAGAAAGCAGTAAATAGTTCCCATTCTTTCCTGGGCAAAGAGGTTTAAAGGCTGTGTTTAAGGTGGAATTTAGATAGGGTTTTCATTTTTGGCACAGAAACCCTTTCATAAAGAAATACAGGACCTCTTCACACACAAATACATATAATGAGACACCACGGAGTACTGAACACTAGACATCATTCATTTACCTAATAAACAGTAACACTATTTGTTTATAAAATGAAGCTATAAGCTCAATACTCTTCTCTCAGCCAGACTGCTAATGAAGGCTGTGTGCTGTAGGTTTAGACCCAGTCATTTAATATGTTTCATTAAATTTGATTTTGTGTAATCGCAGAATGACAAGCTGAACACCAACAATTGGTCATCAAGTACAACGGAGGTGCCAAGAGCTCCATGGCAGAAGTAGGCTCCTCTGGGGCTCTGTGAGGAAACGGCCCTGCCTCCATCTGTTTACCTCCAAGGAAACAGCTCAACCTCATTAGCAGGATAGACACCAGTGTCTCAAATGAGAAAGTTAAGAAAAAAAAAAAGATAATAAACCATAACCAATAATCTACTGTTGTATGTGAATCAAATTCAAGAACTGACCTTTTCCAGAGTACGCACAAGCAAAAAGCACTTTGCTCTAATCTAAGTAAGCTGTAATGCTCATAAAATGCACAGTGATGGCTAAATACAATTGGTGGCTCTGGCCTGGGAACCCTGACTCTGCAAAGGGCGTTTCTAGGACAACCACTGAGCTCTGCATGTGCTCTGCAGATTAGAGCAGAGTCTGTGCTGGGTCTTGTTTCCTGATTACAGTAGAAGATGTCCTGGTTTTTAAGAGAGACACAAGGAGAGATTTTGGGGCCAGGCAGGGTGCCTGCAGCTTACATTTAAATGTTTAACAATATATATCTGAGTTGAAAAGTGAATTGAAAACACAAATGGAAGAAGGAACTAGAGATTCTGGATAAAGGCCATTTGGGATTTTTCTTTTTTACACTAATATTGCAATTGTTGTCTATGCTTATATCATGGAAAAGATAAACATGTAGGAAGGAATCCAGGAGAGATGTTAACATGTTTACATTTTAAAGGATAAAGTTTCTTATGAGGAGTTGGTTGAATGAACTGAACTTTTTCCTACTATTTTCCTAGCATACAACACCTACATGGAAACAAACCAAGATTATTCATTTTCCTTTTTCTTAATGGTCTGAGGGGCTCATTTTAGTGAAGCAACATAGTTTTGCAATGAAGAGATATGCTGTTATAAAAACAAACAAATAAACAAAAAACAGCACTGCTTCTTTGGTCCTCATAGAAGACAGAACATTCACTGATCCTTCCAAGGTTGGAAGTCACTGTTGGTCTATGGCTTGCTTTGCCATTTCTGTCCTCTTTGGTGGCATTATCGACACTTAGACAGGTCTGATCCATTGTAGGACCCCCATCTAAAAGGTGAGTTCCAGGAATGGAATTAGCCCAATCCACCATTTTCTCACATAGGCTCCAGGAACGGAGTGGAATGTGTGAGCTCAGCAGAAGGGATCTGTAGTTTATCATGAATGAGATCAGCAGATACCCAGGCAGCTACTTAGACTATCTTCTCAGCACTTCTCAGATTGCTCCAGTGGGAATTTCAGGTGAACCTACTGTAGTACGGTAAACTCAGTATGGCAAGAGTTAGGTTTATCAAGACTAACTAGTAATCAGTGCTGGGCACCAGACCTAGGGGCCTTGTGCATATGAGGTAAATGACACACCCTTGAACTACATGCCCAACCTTAAAATAACCATTTTTTAAAAATGCGGGCTAATAGGGGCTAGGGGGATGATTCAGTGCTTCAAAGCCTTGGTTGCTCTTCCAGAGGACCCAGGTTCAATTTCTAGCGTCCACATGGCAGCTCACACCTGTCTGTAACTCCAATTTTAGGGGATCTGGTAC